TCCATAATGGCGACAAGCTCCAAGAGACCTATTTTATTTAGTGTGTGCTTTTTTCTTTATCTGCACTCAATCTGTGGCTGAATGTCAAAAATGATATCGTAAAAAAAACAACAACAGCAAAGTGCATTGGCTGTTCTTGTGTAGGATGGAGTCCAGGAAGCTCCCACCACACCAGGCGGAAGTAGACGCCATCCAGCAGAACAGCACCCAGATCTTCCACAAAATCCACTTCCCCAACGACACAGAGGAGGTAACTCACACCTTGTATGTTTAGAGTCACAGAAACAAGCCAGGTCAAATGTATTCCCACAGCAATCCCTGTGATTTCTCTTACCCTTCTTCAGATATTTGAGGTCGCGACAAACACCAGGATCAAGGATCTCATCCAGAACATTAGCAAGAAGCTCAGTCTGGCTTCAGCAGACGGATTCAGCATTTTTGTCAAAACACAGGACAAGGTGCGTTTCTCAAACCATTATATTTTTATTTTTATTTTTCAATGCATGTTCTTTCACAAAGCCCTCTTTCATGAACTTCCGCTCCGCTGGTTGTAAAAGAAAGTTTGTTTTGGTGTTTATTTCAGGTTCTCAGTTTGAATGACACAGACTACTTCTTTGATAGTCTGAGGCAAATCACAGACTGGTCCAAGAAAGCCAAGAGGATCAAAGACGGTAAAAAGCCGTTATCTGATAGGAGCACCAGTCTGACTTTTGACGATTCTTTGCATTTGCCTGTAAAAAACCCTCCTTGTGTGTGTGCGTTCTGCAGGCGGCGGGCCAGTCAACATACCCTACCTTGTGTTCTTCATGAGGAAGTTGTGGTTCAATGTGATCCCTGGCAGAGATGCGGAGGCCGATCTTATCTTCCATTTCCCTCAGGTACATTTGAATGATGCTGGTCAGCCTCCATCACATTTTCCAGCCTGGTTAGTTTTTCCACATGATATGAAAGCCAAAACTTACCATTAACATAATCTTCAAGTATCAATACTAGTTCCCGACTGCTCCTTCTGGTTTCATTATGACCAGTTGGAGAGTTACAGATAAGAAAGTCTTCTCTTCTCTAAATCTCTTAATGAACGACGTGGTCAGTAGCAACTTGGTTTAAAGGTCAAACTTCCCACAATAGCAGACTTTATTAAATATCTTTCTCTCTTCCAGGAGCTACCAAAGTACCTGAGAGGCTATCATGTTTGCACCAAAGAGGAAATGGTCAACATTGCGGCTCTGCTCTTCAGGATAAAAGTCAGCAATGACAAGAACCAGCTGGTTATGATTCCCAAGATGCTGAAGGAGCTGGTGCCCGCCGACCAGCTGAAGGCCATGTCGGAAAATGAATGGAAGAAGGTATCAGGGGCTTTCTTTTCACTGGTTTCATTTATTAATTTGTTTGTTTTTCTTATTGTCAACACATTTCAAGACCAAAACTAACAATGCAACAGCTTCTCAATACTTTCCTACTTCCTTATCCTGTCTGTGACGCTCCAACCCCATTCGTTCCTGACGAAGTACACCTTTAACAGGAATCTATACAACCAGGCTAGCGGCTCATTGAGGCTGTAGTTAGGCAATGCATACTTTGAGTGAACCGCTAACTCAGCGTGCCAACACAATGACAATGACTGTGTTTACATGCACGCTATGATTCCACTTTTTATTCAGAATATGACAATATTGTGAAGTCATAAACCACAGTATTGAACAAAGTGACATTTTTGATGTCATGATGGGGCTGGATTAAAAGCCAGAGGAACACCAAAGTGATTACAGTTCAACTTGAGGGGAACATGAATATCTCTTCGGAATTGTTTGATAATCCATCCAATAAAAGTTGAGATTTTTTGCTCGGTACCAAAAGTATCAACTTCATGGCGGAGCAAATAAAAAAGAAAAAAAGAAAAAAAGAAAAAAGTCACGGTCACCAAATTGATGATCACCAACGTCATCTGGATTCATCCTCTTGGGACCACCAATGTCTGTACAAAATGTCATGTTAATTTGTCCAATAGTTTATGAGATACCAACCACTGACAGACCGACAGATTAACGTTCTCAAGAGCCACACAGCTAACATGGCTGAAAACTGTTCTCAAATATATAGTTTGTAGATACGACTGGTTGGGCACTGTAGTTTTCAGGAGACATTAATCAAACCAGAGTAAACAGTAACATTTTGTTGGGGACTATTTTTAGCCGTGGATGAATACAGTCACCCAGTGCAACAGTGTGGCTCATTGATGGGTTTTTATTAGTTTTTGGTGCTCTATGGCACAGAGGAATACCATACATCAGTCTGTGGATACACATACGATCCTTTAGAGTGTCACCAAACTTCTTCTTTGAATCGCTCACATGAACAATATCACCATTATGCCATTCCTGTGATCGCTATCTCAGCTCTCTGAGAATATTGCCTGAAGTGCTGTGGGGGTGTCGGGAAATCATTAACCTCATTAAAAGCAGCACAAAAACTTCTACAAAACAAGAGCGTTGCATCATACTCTGATGTGTATTTTGTTTTTCATTTTCAGAGTATCGTCAGCTCTTTTAACAAACAAGCTGGTATGACTGTTGAAGAAACTAAGGTGGCTTTTCTGAAGGTGGTCTGCCGCTGGCCGACGTTCGGCTGTGCATTCTTTGAAGTGAAGGTAAAGGCTCTAGTGACAGCAGCACAGACGGTGCTTTATCTTGCAATCTATGGTTGGGTTTGGTGGGTGGCTTGTTTATCTGATGCTCTCTGTTTCAGTCTCTGCACGTCTGCAGACAGTAAATAGTCATGACTGCGGTGACGAAGAGTTCTCTCATTTGACTTTTTGACTCTTTTTTTCAGCAAACATCAGAGCCAAGTTTCCCAGATATTGTGCGAATAGCTGTCAGCAAGGAAGGACTCACCATCATCCACCCTAAAACCAAGGTGAAGAAGAAATACAATTTGACATTATTCCCTTTTTGACATGTTGCTCCTGTATTTCACCATGAACAATTCTCTCTCTTGTAAAGGATGTGCTGGCAAATCACCCATTCAACCGCATCGCTAACTGGTGCAGTGGAAGCACCTACTTTCACATGACTATTGGCAATTTAGTCAAGGGGAGCAAGTTCTTGTGTGAAACATCACTGGTAAGATCTATCATTAGACACGTGTGCTTTAAATGATAAACTGTCAGTAAGTAAAACTTTGTCCTTTTCTATACCTTTGTGTCTTTCTTTAAAAAGGGTTACAAGATGGATGATCTCATAACCTCCTATGTCACAATGTACCTCAGAGAACGGAGGGCAGTGCAAACCAGGAACCAGCGCTTCAACATGTGAGCCTGAGCAGCAAGAACGCGATGCAGCTTCAGCCTGTAGCTGCTGATTTCAACCCAACATATTCAACATGTAGTTCATGCACACACAAAGAGGCAGAGCAGGAAAAGTTTTCTGTTTTTGAAAGTGCAATCAACTTTATTTGTGCTCAGTAGAAAAAAAAAAGATGAATTGAAGAAAACAAAGTTGTTGTAGATTTCTCACAATTTATTTAAAGCTAATGTTTCTTTGTTGTATGTTCAAGTAACATAATCCTAACAGACGTTCTAGGTAAAACTAATACTGTGCACACGGTTTCTACAACCCTTAATTTATGAAAAGATCGTCTCAGTGAAACAATGTCTGCCTGCCTTAAAAACATTAAAGTTGCCCTGTGGAGTTTTCTTGAAAACAAACAAAAGTTAGGTTTTTATCTCACCAAAACACATTGTGTGTATCTCTCAGGCCTAATGTGTTGAAATCGTTTTCTTCCTCATAAAACACCAAACCCATGTTTTTTATTTTATTTGAAAGAATCAGCCATGTTTGCTAGCTTGCAGCCTAATTATTGGCATAGTTAGCAGATATTTTAGTGCTAGTTATCAATATCAACTGTCGATAAATAATCACATGAATACTTGCTTCCTTACATGTCATGTATTATACCAGTGGTGCTCAACCTTGGGGTCAGGACCTCCTAGGGGGTCACAAGATAATTTCAGATGGTTATTGAGAAAATAATGATTGGACAGCGCCTTGGTGTCACGAACACCAACCTGATTATCCTAGGGGGTCGCAACTGTAAAAGGTTGAGAACCACTGTATTACAATACTGGATATTGGACCCCAAGTTGGCACCTATTCAGTCCAATGAGAATTGCTCGCATGGTGCATACAGTGAAAAAAAGTTGCTAACTTCCGTGTTACTTGTGGCGTTAAAATATGCGAGCTAGTGTTAATCCCATCATGCCTCTGATTCAGATTGGGCGACTGTGTGTTCATGAATGCTTCAAAGGGACTTGCTTGAAACCATTAATCTATTTATACAGATGGCAACAGCAGCAAACAATGAAGATAATGTTCCAAAATGTAAGATAATAAATGCTAAAATCCCAAATATCATTCTCATTTCCAAGACACAGCAAAATTGCACATAGCAGGCTACTTCACAGCGGTGCCGTCATTCAGAAATAGAAATCATTTTTCTGGGCTTTGGAAAAGTTTTACAATGATTAAACCCCCTATGGCTCAAATATATACGTCACAAATAGTAATAATTGTCTATTTTTATAGCTGAAGGTGTCCTGTCAAAAGTTTTGTAGACGTCTTTTTTAGAAGTGGTCGATGGAAAAGATGCTTTTTGTTGTAATACCCCAAGTGGCCACTAGAAGAAAATGGGCGCAAGGTTGCTGTATCCACCTATATAATACAACCATGGTACATGTGCATCCTTGTGTAATACAAATACAAATATAAACATTGCTTCATAGTGCTAATAGTGTTTGGAAACTCCACAGAGTACCTTTAAATATATCCATCTTTAGAAATATATTTGCTTCAAATGATATCTTGCTCATGAAAACAAACTATTCAATGAATGAAAATTTTCTGCTAAAATTTCCAAATAAAACATTTTCCCAGTGGAAGCCTGTTTAGAGCATCGTATTTTCCACGAGCAGCCGGGAGCCTCCACCGCAGTAAGAAGAATAAAACATTTATGATGGCAAGGCAATGTTTTTGCTTCGGGGTTACGAGACGCGCAGCAGACAGAGCTGAGGAGCCCAAAACAAAAGCCGGGGGCCATCCCAATTAGCGCTTGGCAGTAGATTAACAGGGTGGTTGGTGTCAAAGCTTCTCCGCCGTCCTGCACAGATAAAGCCTCCATTCAAGTCTACAGAATTCTATTTGCATATCGATGATACAGAGAAGAGAAAGGGTCGATGTGTGTGACACACAGCTGGGATCTGCTTGTATGAAAGAAATATTATCCCCCCTCAGCCAGCGGGTACTCTCTCCACATCTGTCCGATGGCTATGTGACTGATTATTTTGGGCATTCCAATTCAGGATGCCCCCAGGAGGCAAGGGACCAACAAGGGCCTCTGTTTCCTTCAAGCGTGCCCCCCCCCCCCCAATCCTCCCTGCTCTTGTTTTGTCACTCGCTCTCCTATAGGGAATGGGGCCGTATGTAGAGCTAAACACACCAGCTACAAAAGATCATCTCTGAGACTTTAGTCATAAACTTCTAAATGAACACAGTCCATCTTCTATCTATCAGTGGGGGGGTGGGAGTTCATGACTAAAGGCACTCGGCGCACCACTGGGCCTCGTTTCCATGGAGTCATACCCGACGTCTCGCTGCGACTGAGGCATGCCATTCTTCTCCCCGCTGCTAAAATGTGCAGCTTATTCTGACTCAGGCTATTGTGGAGCACAAGTGGCTCTCTGAGGAGAAGGGGACAGAGTAAGAAAGGGTGGGGTCAAGGTTCAAACGAGCGGCTCCCATTGGGACTCCCTTGCTGTTATCAAATTTTTTTGAGACACAAAAAGAGCTACAGTCTTATTCCCAAGAACATCTTGAGCGAGAGTGAAGGGGGTCATAGGACAGCGTTCTTTGTGTCACAGCTTCAGTCCTTCCAGAGCTCGCCGGTCCGACTCCCAGTCTTCACTCTGCTGCTGCGCTGAATTGTACAGCAGCTGAATTGTTCATCAAGCAGCCGAGCTTTTCTTCAAGAGCTCCATTCACTGTGAAGCTCTGAAGGGAAGGTAAGTCTTTTGTTATTTCACCTCAGATTTTGATAAGGCAGTAGAGATGTTTTTTTGGATAACTTTATGAAATGTCTGGCTCCACAAGAGGAATCCCCTCTGTGTTCACAGTGCACACTGTGGCACTATACTTAAATTGTTGCTGTTAAACAATATATCCTTTAGCTACAAATTTCACTGTGCAGTAGTAGCAAGAGTTTATTCAGTGAATGTGTCACTTTTGTCATGTAAATCCCAAAACAGCTCCGCATTGTGACAGATCTTTTTATGACAATCTACTTTTTAAGACCCTTCCAGCATTCAATCCAATTACCAAATTTCACATTGACTTTATTCTACTTTGGGTTTAACTGTGACGAGTTTTAACAAAAGAAGATTCTGCACATTACAGCTGTCACCGTTTTGTCGCAACAAATTGTTACCGACTAATCCCTGGAGAGGACCGGTGCCAGGATGCTCGGTCTCCTCTCGCACAGATCTGCTTATCCAGATCATTGTGATGAAGGCATATTTCAGGATTTGCCTCTCTTGAGGATTATCCCTCGGGGATCCGTATTTACGGGAGCTTTTTACATTGAGCTGGTTTGTTATCCCTGCTGGGACTGCAACCCTTTTTTCTTGGGGGCTCCTGAATGTGCCGCGTCTGAGCCTTTGGCTGAGAAATGCCCTCCGTTGTGGGTCTCACAGCTCCAGTGTGTGCAGGAGCGTAGCGCACACACTGAAAAAAAAATCTACGGCGCTACATCTGGCTGGTTCCTAATGGGCCAAAAGTCCGATCAGTGAGCTGGTGAAATGGAGATTTAGCCCAGTCAGATAAAAGAAGAAACAATCCCTTTCCCTTTTTGTTAAGGAGCCCTGTAATGGTGCAGCATTTCACTGTTTGGAGAACTATTTGCATTGTGTATTTGGGAACCTCCCTTTGGCTAGAAACATCTGTGGGATGACAAGTTCATCCTCTGCTGCACATGTTTTGATGCTGTTCTTGGATCCTCCACAAATTTCAAAGTGAAAGTTCGAGAGAAGCCTTCCCTGACATTAATTATTGCTGTTCACGCCCCAGAGATGTTTGTGTAGATGTTGGGCTGGAGAAACGGATAAAGAGGAGTGGACAGCTGGAACTTGCCGGAGTAGTGGGTGGTGATTTTTGAGGTGTGTCGAAATAGTCCTCTAAGATTGAAAAACAAAAAACAACGATGCAATCCTTTGAGGAATGGTAAAAATTATGTTGGTCTGTTTGAACTTAAAACTGTCACTCAGGAGACTCAACTGTAGGCTACAGCAATCATAAATGCATTGCATGTAAAGATTTTTTAAGAATTTTTTATTGTTATTTTCTACCAACATTATTTATGTAGCTGTAACCATGAAAGAAATAGTTTGACATTACAAACTAAATGAGAAGATACTACTAGCTTAGCACAGAGATTGTAAACAAGGGAGAGCCACTATGGCTCTGTACAAAGGTAATAACATCTACTGACTGGCACATAACCACTAGAAAAACTACAACTTCTTTGTTTTTGCAGGGTTACGGATTCAACAAAGGAGATATAACGTGTTCACTGGCTTGCTTTAAAAGTGTGAGTTGGCGGACATCTATTTTCCTGGCTAACCTAACTGGCGGCATGGCTCTAGCTTGATTAACAAACAAACATGCGAATCTTCTCAGCTAACTGTCGGCAGGATGGTGAATAAATGTGTTTCCCCAATTGTCCAACCCTTAAAAAGAGAGAATAACACATGGAGACACATTTTCACTCATATCTGGTAAGCTAGCATTACAGTAGGTTTGAAATTGATTTTTAGACTATATCATTACACATATAGCAGCTAATGAGTGTTTACTGCAAAGTATTAGCTTGGACAGACGTACCAATTCCTCCTGAGAGTTTTCAGTTCAGTCTAGATGAAAGCATTCTTGCTGACAAATCGGACTCTGACGCCAAATACACTGTACAAAGAAGATCTGATGACTTAGACTTCCTGAACTTAATAGTGTGCGGAGGAAGTCTCGTACTTGCATGGGTCAGAATGAAGTAATTATCCGCTCTGAGAGCATGTGCACATTAGCCGGGGACACTGACATCTATTGTTACCTTGCGAGACTGGCACTGTGACAAGTACTCTCCCTGCCTATTGTCTCTGTGTGTGTGTGTGTGTGTGTGTGTGTGTGTGTGTGTGTGTGTGTGT